TATCTTCAACGATCACAATCCAAGAATCATACGGAAAATCCACCATGATCACGAGAACTTGAAAATTTTCTAGAGAGAGAAAGTGATTTTGAATGGGTTTTATAGAGAGAGAAGGTAAAAATCACTTGAATTCTAGTGAAGAAAATCGAATTTTGAATAGAATCAAAGATGAATTCGATTTCTATAATCCAAAAACTCTCTAAATCACGAAGATCAAAGATCAAAAAATGGATCACCAAATCAAGAAAGCCACCATGGATCAATTCTTGATACAATCAAGAACACCCGCTCTGATACTAATTGTAGTGGTGTTGATTATGATGGCATGTGCGGAATAAGAAAAGATCTAGTGAATCATCATGTAAACTATGAACACAAGGAGTAAATAAATCTTGTTAAGCTCTCATTAGATCTTGAAAGAGTATACAAATGGATCTTGTACAAATTCTCTCTCTAGACTAACACTCCAAAATGTGTTGGGTTTTAGTATACTACAACATCCTATGGTGCACATACAACCCTAAATACCTTGGATCTATGTTTTCTCTATTATACATGCAAATATGAAGTTTCCAAGATATTACCCTATACTAGCATACAAATATCATATACTTGGGGTAATAAAATAGATAGAATACATACCTTTTTTTGATGTAACTTGTCTTCATGAAGCTTGAGTGCCTAGTGCCCCAAGTGTGACACCTCAAATGGTTCACACAACACCATGAACACTTGGAATAACCTTGAGAATAAGGATACTTTGGTTCTCTCTAGTGAAATCGGCCTTGCCCTTTTGTGTACACACACTAGTGCCCATTTCACCAACCAAGGACATCTTTATATAGTGTGGATATTAGGGTTAAACCTTAATACCCATGACCTTTCATTTCATATGATCCATGGGTTAAACACTCCATGGACTATCCATGAAAGCTTAGCCCAACCTAAATGAACTTGGCCCATCACACACATATATCTTAGAGTCCATATTTGATTAGTTCCTTTTGATCACTTAATTAATTATAAATTAATTCTTGCTCAATACTAATTAAATAATATGATTATATATTAATATATTAGAACTTATAATATATTAATATAAATCACTAGTATCCTTTTTCCTCATCTTGTCTATCCAATTGTCCAGATGCCATGCAACCCAAATGGACCATGCCGGGTCGGGTCAAGTCTTACCAATTATAGTTATGGACTTGGACATTAATCCAACAAAATGATCATCTCTAAATATGAGTGTCACTCACTTCCTATTTATAGGAAAGACAACTCATTCACACATCAATAAGGGTAAGCCACATCCAAGCGTGACTTTGCACCCTAACAGACCCTTGAAAGGGTTAAGAGTATGAAGTGGTAAGTAAGAAGGATGTTATGTGTAGGAGTTTGAGAGGAATTGATTCCAGCGTCGAGGACAGTTCAGACACTTCACGGCATTGAGTGAGTTACCTTCCAGTAGAAGTGGGTATACGGCCACAATGCCGGTCCACTAGTAGGAGTTGTTTGATTAGATGATTGTCTTTGTGATAATTATCTAGGTTTGCTACTACTTTATATGTTTATGTGTTGGCATGATATGATGATATGTGATAGTAGTATTAGGGGGAATAGTCCCCGTAACACGGTCGTAAGGACCTGAGGATTGGTCGGGCACCCCATAATTGCACGACAATATATATGTTGTATGGTATGTGGTAGGATGGGGGAACTCACTAAGCTTTGTACTTACATTTTCAGTTTTGTTTTCAGGTACCTCTTCTTCGAAGGGGAAGGAGTCGGCATGGTAGCAACGCATCGCACACATATGATTTCCGCATTTTGAGATCCATGGGATTGTACTCTGACATTATTACTATTTTGATGATATGGTTGAGACATGTGAATATGTTATATGAAATGATATGAATCTAAGATGTTCTTCAGTAAACTGTTTTATAAGTGACTTAATTAAAAACAAAATTTTTGGTCTTGAAAATTGGGTTGTTACATCGTAGCTGGGTTCGCCAACGGGGTATATATACAATGCATTGAGCCCCTAGAGAATGACGAGATGATTAGTTCTCTCGACCAATTGGATTTAGTAAACAAGGGTTGTAAGACTGCAGTAGGACTACGAGGTGACCAGTTCTCTCATAGGATTTGGAAGTGAGAATTCCATATGAACGTAGGATATCTGTATGATTTCAGTTTCTTAGTTTTAGGGTATAAAGCCCTATAATCAGATTCTTACGAGTTTTGAGCCTTGCAATATTCTGATTTGAATTGCTTGTAATATTTTAATGGTTTAGTTTATTCAAACTTGTTTTAAAAACATGTTTTGAATTATATTGTTGAAGTTAAAACCCATGTAGCTCATGAGACAATGATTGTGTTACATATTTGTTTAAATGCTATGTATTCCAAGTATTGAGATACAACCTAAAGAGCTGAGTTGAGACAGATAGTAGAGAGTCAATGGATATAAATTAGGCATAACTTCCATTACGTAAGCAACCTTTCAACTTTACTATGGTTTATTTGTATCAGTTGTAATACCCACAAGAATATTTTTACAAATATATTTGTAAATGAAATGAGGAAATTTCGAGAGAATATTTCATAAATGAGACCCATTGACAAAAAAATGTTTTGTAAAACCATTCTATTTTAATGTATAAAAGATCGGGAGTTACAAGTTGGTATTAGAGTCATAGTTTAAGAAACTTAGGTTTGGGATGTCCATATATAGGCTTAAACTACAAGGTGAATGAAGGAACCACAGTGGTTTAGGGCCATTACTAGTGATATGAGTAGGTCCTATGAGTTATAGCAAGGTTTGCTCTCGTGTAAGAATGAAATGTCATTTTTGTAAAATGACATATGGATTGGCTCTCCTCGTAAAGATATGTTACGAGTGTGAAAAGGGGATTATTGTCATAGTTATTATGATAAAACGATGCATAAAGGTGATGTGTGTCCTAGTATGTGGACAATAATTAGGGAATTGTGTTGTTCGATGCTACAGTGATAGCACTGACTAAAAAAAATCCAAAATGGAAAATAAAATAGTCATGAAGATAAAGAGAAATGGTGTGGCAGGTGTCGTGGTAGACGCTTAAGAAAAAGTTTAGTGGGAATGTTTTGATGTTACCATTTTGTTATCTGAGGGACACGAGATAATGGGTCAAGACTTTTAAGAAGGTAAGATATAGCCCATACGTGTTAAAGGACATAACTGGTATAATAAACTCACTTCCGGATAAACCACCACACAAATTTGGACTTTTTTAGTAATAATTTATTTGATTTGAACTCTCCAACTATAATCCTTAAATTATATATATACAACATCAAGCACATAGTTAAACCACATAACTTCTTTGGGTAATTAATATATCATTTTCATGATACATCATATAATATCTTTGTTATAAATCATGCAATCCCCGTTTAAATACATCATGCACCCTTGTTGTGATGTCAAATAACATCAATTCGTTAAGTATGTAACACCCGTTTTCCAGGATGGATCAGTTGGGGACTTAGAGGGATCAAAGGAAAGATTTTGGGGAAAAATCAAGTGTCACGACGTGGTGAATGGATCAGCACGACGTGGCATGCTAAATGCATGAAACACACATCTAATGGCAGCCACGACGTGGCAAGAGGAATGCCACGACGTGGCAGCAACTACAGCCCAAGCCCATGATCTTTTAGGGCTTCTTACATATTTAAGCACCTAATCTCAAGGATTATGACATCTTCTTCAGCCTCCAACCCTTCAACAACAAAACCCTAGCCTCCATGGATGTTTATGAGATTGTTTGCTTAATTGAAGAGCTTGTTCTTGGATTTTGGTGAAGTTTGAGGAAGGTGAAAGATTATTTTGGTGCAAGGGAGAAAGGGACCAACTTGGAATCATCATCTCCTTCAGATTTTTGAGTTGTTGGAGGCATAAAGCTCTCGTCTTGACCTTTTTTCTTCTTGATGTTAGTTTACGCTTATTTTATATGATTTTGGTCCCTTCTTTGGGTGCTCTTGGAGTTTGAAGAACTCCAGAGCTTGTGATGGCTTTCTAAGGTCATTAGGCTTCTGACAAATAAGAAAATGAGACATGTTCGGAGTACCTTGTATGTATGATTAAGTTATAGCCTTATTACGGACTTAATGTACTTAGATTTTTAGATCTTGCCTAGGGGTGAGGTTCTAATGGATAAAGTTGGAAACTTTATCCATTAAGTCATGGAAAAGGATTTGATCTGAAATTATGGGTTTAGATCTGTAAGGATTAAGCTCTTAATGAAGAATATGGCCTTTGGCCACGGACCACGACATGTCGAAGGGCTTGTCACGTCGTGGTAGGGTCCTGCATATCGACTTTTTTGTCATGACATGCCCACAACGTGGCCAAAAGGTCTCCACGCCGTGGTGAGTGTTGACTTGATTGACCGTTGACTTTTGTTAACCATTAATCATTGACTTTTGACCAGTTTGACTTTGGGTCAAACTTGAAGGACTTGTATTATTGATTAATGATCTATCTTTGTTTGGTACTAATTGGTTCGCGGGGGCGATCAGTGCAGGGAGTGAAGACGTTGTGTTTCCTTTGGTCTTCGATTCAAGTGAGTTTCCTCACTATATTACATATGCCATAATATGGTGTATGCCAGACTAGTTAAATCTTATTGCTGATTGCTGTTATGTGTATTTACCGAGTTGCTGATAACTCCAAAACTGCTGATATGAAAGCAGACCTGCTTTGAAAATCCATTTCTTTAACTTAAATCATAGAGACCATACGAATGAAAAACTAATTTCGAAGGTGTCATGACTATGGATAGACAACAATTTTATACTAAAATTATTTTTATATCTATAATCTTATTAAAAAAAAAGCAACAATAAAATATAATAAATATATGATATTTTTGTTAATGGTTATTTCTTAAGGTCCATTTGGTCAAACCCATTAAAAGTGGAGGCGTGCTTTCGAATTTTCCCCAATTAACTGAAACAACCACGCCCTCCATAAACCCTCATCTTCACAAATCAAAACCCTAAAACCGCTCCCGCACTCCCCGCTGCATCTTCTTTCCCTTTGCCTCTCTTTCTCTCTCTCATACACAGATTGCGAAAATGGTAGCGAAGCAATTGGATGAAGAAACCGTTAAGAAAGTGATTCGACAGGTTTGAACTCGTAGATTTATCTCTGATACAGTTGAATAACTTCACCAAGTCTGTGTTTTTTGTTAACCATTGATAATCTTTTTGCAGGTTGAGTTCTATTTCAGTGATAGTAACCTTCCAAGGGATAATTTTCTTAAGAATACAATTACTGAGAGTGAAGATGGCAGTATCCTTTTTCCTATGCATATGCTTGTCTACTTGCTAACTTGTTCTTTATAATCCATCTGCTCCTTTGAATCATAAGTTAAAACGCAGTAAAAAAAGACATATTTAGCGTTGTGGTCAAGCCTAGTTCAGATTCATTTAATATTGATTTTGTCACAAATCTAGTTCTATCATTATGGTACTTGCGGTATTTGTCATAAGTTTAAGGTATTGGCTACCTTTTGTTGTATAGTTTATCTATAAGAACCTGGGAAGTTGAAAGTGTGACCGATTAAATATCTAAATCGATGTTGCTGAAGTTGAAGTTCGTGTTAGATGTTAAGTTAAAACGCAGAAAAGATTGCTATAATATTGTCATTTGTTGTGCTTTTGTCTCTGTTTGAAAAGAAAAACGTTATCTTGTGTTAGATACTCATGCTTTTCTTAACAAAAAGTACAGTGGTAAGCTTGGCATTGATATGTTCTTTTTCCCGAATGAGAGGTCATCTGGGATTGGGAGATGTAAAGGCTGAAGATGTTCCAGAAGATACAGTGGAAGCTGTGGCTGAGACATTAAAGAACTCAACTACTCTTAAAATTTCTGAAGATGGTATGAGTTTATAGATGCCATGGCTTCTCTGTTTGTTAAATCTCTCTTCTAGTTATTAATTCTTGATTTCTTATGTATTGATCTATACAACTATTTATCTTTCAGGAAAGAAAGTCGGAAGGACCACAGAACTCCCAAAAGAAGAAGTGGCAATTGAGCAATTAGATAGTAGAACAATTGCTGCATCACCAATTGAGTATGATGTAAAGCTTGAAGAGGTTGAGTCCTTTTTTGGACAATCTGCCAAGGTAAAAAGGATGCTTCATATCACATCCTCTTCCTATTTCCTATGTCTCCTTTTTTTTTTACTGAATCTCATCATACTTTTCTTATTCCTAATTCAGGTTAATAGTGTGAGGTTACCTCGACATGTTGGTGATAAAAGGGTATTTTGTGGAACTGCTCTTGTTGAGTTCTCATGTGAGGAGGATGCCACAAAGATTTTGACACAAAGCTTGACTTTTAGAGGTGCTGAGTTGGCACTAAAACCAAAGTAAGCCATAACTTTATGTCATTTCTTAATTGAAAAGTATCTTGGATTCTCGGGATCTTAACTTTGTGTCTTTATCTCTCCTTTTACCAATTTAAGGAAAGAGTTCGATGAGCAAAGAGCTAAAGAAGAAGAAGCCGAGTCAACTCGCCGAAACATGCTACAAAATCGTAAAAACAGTCCTCAAGAAGAAGAGTAAGTAACTAAAGTCTTGTTTAACTTTTCATTCAAGATATTTGTCTAAATATCTTTTAAATTGTGATGTTAACAGCTACCCAAAAGGGTTAATTGTTGCGTTTAAGTTGAAGAGCACTACATCTGAAGATCCTTCAGTTGAAAAGGGTAATGAGGTAAAATCAGAAACAGAAGGAAAACCTGATTCCATGGAATTGGGTACTGAAGAGGGTGAAACAAAGGTTGATGCTGAAGATAAAAAGGAATCTTCTCCTGAGAGTGAGGAAAAAACAGAGACTAAGAAATTGTCTGCTGACATGTACAAAGACAATAAGGATGTTGTTTTACGTGAGGATCTTAAAAGTGTCTTCCAGAAGTTTGGTACAGTTAAGGTATGTCATTATTATCTTGTTAGTTTTTTTCATTTAAATTATTATTTTGCTTTTTATTTTTATAAAATGTTGTTTTTTTCAGTATATTGATTTCAAGATGGGGGAGGAATCAGGATACATTAGGTTTGAAGAAGCAGAGGGTTCACAGAAAGCTCGTGCTGCTGCTGTTCTTGCTGAAGAAGGTGGTCTGATTGTGAAAAATTATGTTGCTATTCTAGATACAGTAACAGGTAAGCTAAGACATTGCATGTTTTAAGTGCAAAAATCTTTGTATTTTAAATCTTAATTTATTTATTCTTTTCCTATTTTTGGTATGAGAAATATAAAAAAGTAAGGGTAAATGTGTAAATTGTTTTCAGGGGAAGCTGAAAAGGAGTACTGGAATATGCTCCGTGGTCAAGAGAAATTCCGAGGAAATAATAAAGGCAATTGGAGCAGGTTAGTGTTTTTTTTTTTTTTTTTTTTTTTTTTTTTTTTTTTTTTTTTTTTAAACTTTTCTTGTTACTATTTTATCGATTTAGCTACTAGCATGATGTTAATAATTATAAAATATAATAGCTCAATGGCTAAATCCATAAAATGGATAAACTACACTGATTTTCTGTATTCAAACTTTAGTGGCTAAGTTAATAACATATTGAATGTTTTGCCTTTTTAATAATTACAAATTATAAAAAATCTTGTTTATTAGGGGAGGAGGAAAGAACAACAGAGGTGGAAGACAATTTAATGGGAAAAATAATCGATCGAGAGACAATAATAATTCTGGAAATCGACCAAACAAGTTTCATAAAGTTGCAGCTGCTTGAACCTGGTAAATCTGGTTGCCAATGGAGCCTAACTTGGGTCTGTTTTAATGTTTAATTTAGGGCATGGTTACTTTTTCAACCATAAAACTGTCGTATTAATATGTTATTTTTGTTATTGTGGCAACTATATCATAAAACTATTATAGCAACGTATTTTTTTTTAATGCAAGTTGAAGTTTTGTTTTCAATTTCTAGTATATATGGGGACTACTGCTCCTTTTACTTGACCATGCTTTACTTTGGTCTTGATTTATATACATTTTACTTTGGTCTTGATTTATATACATTTTTGCATATACTCCCTCCGTCCCATATTAATAGTCCATGTTTCCTTTTTGGTTTGTCCCAAAATAATTGCTTACTTCTAAAAATAACTATATATTTTACCATAATACCCCTCATTGTTAGTTAAATTATCATAAAATTAAATGCAACTATCATAGAATTAAATGCAACAGAAGGGTAAGACTGTTATTTTATTTAATAAAGTTAATGGTAATTAATGTTTTAAACTGTGTTTTTTGTCTGTGGACTATTATTTTGGGACGGAGGGAGTATAATATAACATGCTTTGATTTGTGTCTTAAATAACCTTTTTAGGCTAGATTTCATAGTTGTAGATGGTTGTATTTTAAAGATCAAATCGATTTACCTATAGATGGTTGAATTCATGTATAGTATGATTTAGAATATACACATCATGTTAAAAGTTCATCAAAGTAGAAGGATTCTACATGAGCATATAGAAGTTGCGTATGATGCTTATTTCCAAAAATAACTATAGGTCTTCATTTATCCTAGCTTGCTTTCCTTTTGCGCATCCTAGTATCTTTGTAGATCAAGGTCATGTCCGCCTAGTATTGAGACGTGGATTTCTAGGGGGAGGGGTAGCGTTGTATAATGTAGAGGATATTAAGTTGAGAAGATATACCATAAATGTAGGCTCTTTGAATGGGAAGTCGTTGGATACTCGGATCTAATGAAGGTTTTAAGGAAATCAAAATGGCATAGCTTGTATTTAAGAGATTAAGGTGGTGGTGGTGTTTTTTTTTTTTTTTTTTTTTTTTTTTTTTTTCTAAAAAGCCCCTTCTGACCTCTTATTGTTGCGCTGCGCAATACACGCGCATTACTTGACCATTTGCAGTTGTTTGTTTTTCAGAAGACTTCTGACTTGAAAAGTGTTGCGTGGCGCAGCATTTGATCTTCTGTTTCAAACTTCTTCACACCATACTTTAACTTATTGCAGCAGTATGCAGAAATTAAAAAACAAACAAATTTTTTATTACATGTTGAAGTCGTTTGGTTCCCCCTCTTCTGCTATAGAGGGTTGCAGAGGTGGTCCGTAGACTTTAGACATTTTTGCTTCGAAAAAACAAACGACACCTAAATGGAAGAGGGTAAAAGCTAGATAGCGTAATGGGTATAAGTGGTAATGTTAGAACTATAAAAGGTAAGGAATGAAGTGGGTGTCTTGACACATGATGTGATGGTTATAAATGGAGGCTACAATTTTGGTGTCTACAATTTATAGACACATAGATAGTCGGGCGTACAGTACTAGGAATGATGAGGGTCGCTTGCTTCTTAAGTTTGTTACGACACATGATTTGATGGTCATAAACTCGTTTACAAAGGGATGTTCTTTTTATTACCTTCCGAAGAGAAGGACATAACACCTAAATTGAAAACATACAGTTGCGTAGGTATGAAAAGATTGTAAGGTGACCTTATTATTAGAAAGCTTATGCATCACAACACATTGTTTGTTATGGATTTCTCTCGAGGAGCGTGCAAAGGGAGTAAATAGACCAATGATTCTTTGAAAAAACTTGAAAAGGAAACAATCAAGGCTTTTAGAGATAAAGTCATCGTGGAAGTGAAAGCTAGTACGAAACATGCAAGGAATGCAAAGCAACTATGGAATAGTATGGGTCAAGATCGAAGAGGTAGCCAAAGACACACTTAGTATGTCGCTAGAGAAGAATTGTAATGGTGTAGCGAGATGGTCAAGCTAAGGTTTAGGTTAAACAAACTGGTTTTAAGAAGTTTTGAGTGTAGTGAAGACGATGAAGAGACATTGGAAGAATGAGGCTAAAAAAGAGAGTCAAAGAAAGTGACAGTTAACGAAGGTCATGACACACGAGGAGATGAATAGGAGATTGGATACAAAATAAAAAGAAAATGAAATCTATTAAGATATCAAGCTAAAAAGAGAAGAAAATAGACAATAGTAAATGTTAGGTGATTAAGGATGACAAGGGTCAAGTCCTAATGAAATCTATAAGATATCAAGCTAAAAAAAGAAGAAAATAGACATAGGTAAATGTTAGGTGATTAAGGATGACAATGGGTGAGTCCTAATGAATGATGATGATACAAAGAAGTGTGGCAATTGTGTTTAATATTTATTCGATGAGGTCCCTTCAAGCGTGAAGGATAAGAATATTGAGGGTTTTGGAGGGAGACACGACTTACGATGAAGGTCAATGCATGATGATTAGTAACCGAGTAAGTAAAGAGGGCTTTAAAGATGATATGTGATAACAACGTTGTAGGATCAAATCAAATTCTTATTAGTGCATGATAGTGCTTTGGGGAGGAAGGGGTTAGGTGTATGACAAACCTTTTTAACATTATCCTATAAACAACCACGAAGTTAATTAGTCATCCCATGAAATTTTCGGAGAGAGGGTTTCAAAGGCCAAGTCGTGCCATGTTATGAATGTTTTAGAAAATCAATTCAATTTCATGCTATGGAGGTTGACTACAGGGGTGATCGACCTCCTTAAATGCCTTGTGGAGAAATACAAAGAAAGAAATATAGATCTACATATGGTATTGATCGTCAAAGATAAGACATATAATAGCATACCTCGCGACACGATTTAGAGGAACTTGGATATTAGAAGGGTCTCAGTGAAACATACCAGGTCTATTCATGATATGTATTACCGATTTACAACATGTGTCTAGACCCCAATCGAAGACGCGGAGCCTTTTCTAGTGGAAAGCGAGCTTCATTAAGGTTTGACCCTTAGTCTATATATCTTTGCTCTAATCTCGAAAAAGATGTCTCATGAGATTTATGGGGTTGTCTTGGTGTATGCTTTTTTACAATGAATTGTGTTGATGGTTAAAACTGAGACTAAGTTAAATGTTAAGTTGGATACATGGAGGATAACAATGGAAGAGAATGGTTTACAGATCAACACTAATAAAACAAGTATCTTTTCTAAAATTTTGACATAGGAGTAGAATGATGAAGGTGTAGATGTATGTATCGAGATTATGTTCTACACCTAAATGAGATTTCAAGTACTTGGGATCTATGATCATAATGGAGACTTAGAGGGTGACGTTACCCACCATATAAAGGCAAGTTGGTTAAAATGAAGGGCGGTCATATGAGTCTTGTATAACAAGAATGTCGTGTTGAAATAGAGGTGATCATTTGGACCAAACCGGACCCGACTCTTAGATTAGACCGGTTTGGGAGAAATTGGACCTTGGTCCAGACCTGTTGAGGTCGGTCTAGGTCCGGGTTTTCTGGTTCTTGTACCCATGGGACCGATACAACTTTAGATGCATATGGTATAACTCGTTAAAGCCATACCGAAAGTTAGTTTATCTATTACAACTTTGGGGTGAGTATTTGGACCAAACTGGACTGGACCGACTCTTAGATCAGAATGGATATGTAGAAATTGATGGACCTTGGACCAAACCTGTTGAGGCCGGTCCAAGTCCAGTTCTCCTTTCGGCTCGGTCCAGAGGTCCAAATGCCCACCCCTATGTTGAAACTGTAATATCCCAAATTTTAAAATAAAAATTTCATTTTAAAACATAAATAAAACATCCAAAACCATTTTTTCCATAAAAGACCAAGATAAACAATTGTTTTGACATCACCAAACAATATTATAAAAATGTATAAGAATCATCACAAATTCAATAGAAGTCTAAATCATGAAACATCATCGATGCAAATGCAGTACAGACACGCTAGCCCTTCCTTTTGTCAGTACAATTACCTGAAAAAACATTTAATCAACAAGTGTAAGCACGTCATTCATGGTAATAACTATGCATATCTACATCGGGCTTGTGGGCTTTCACCTTTATCCATTAGACTTCTAGGCTCACGACATGACACTGATATCGCCATCATCCAATCAAACATGTAGGCTCACGGCACAACACTGATATCACTATCATCCAACGTGCATGTAGGCTCACAACACAACACCGGTATCACCATCATCCCCCACACAAAACATGTAAACATACAAGCAAACAAGCGAGACCCCCACTAGTCTAGCTAAGAAGATAATCATGTCATAGTAATACGCATGAATCCTACACATTGCGGATCCAATAATGATATAAGTGATATAGTGAGAAAACTCACCTAAGTCTGAAGAGCTGAATTCACACACTCATACGAAACCTCAAATGAATAAGATACATGCATCACCTAAGTTAAACAGAGGTCAAACCTTAGTCTGTAGTTCAAATCCTTTAAGTTTGACCAAACTCCTGGTCGCAACGCGATCACTAGGCGCAAAAATAGCCAAGAACCCGATCCAACCTCACGTTTTAAGCAATTTAATCCCCTAAGACGAAGACTATTCTTTTCTAGAATACCTCAAAATATGGAGGAGTTAATGGATAAAGTTTCCAACTTTATCTATTTGCATGCCTCTAACAACTTTTCACAAAACCCTAGATCTAAAGAGGCCAAAATGCTAACAACTTCTTGCGTGACGCAAATGGGAAGACAAACATGCATTCCTTTTCCTTAATGAAGTCCAGAAAACACTCATACATAATCTTTGTCAATCTTTATGACCTTGAGTTTTCCAAACTCCAAGAGACATAACAAAAAGGGACCAAATACACTTAGAAAGCTAGATCTTTGTAACGTCCATAAAATTTCAATAAAATTTAAACTTTTCAAAACAACCCATTTATTAAAGAGGTGTTTACAAAACCGTTGTTTCCAAAACATTTATTTAAAACCGAAATCATTTACGCATAGTTTTCAAAAACAGTTACGTTATTAGAGTATCCCATAAACCATAAGTTCCAAAAACACGAGGATGTGTACGGTCATGCCTTCACCTTGCCACGATCCACTTGCAGTACCTGAAACCAAAAACCCAAACTGTAAGC